TTCGGCGTAAATTAGCAGCAGCCGCGTGAGCCTATGATCGATCTCTTGCGGGCGGTTAAGTGGCCCTTGAACGTCACCCGACCGACTCGTCCGGGCTGCGACGGAAAAAAGGGTGGTTCCCTTCTTTTTTTTTTTTTGGGCGGAATAGTGGACACTTCACCTTTCTCGTCGTACAGCGTATACTTTCGAGGGAAATGGATTTCGGTGGACAGACAGGTGCCTGATTCGTACAAACTCGGATATATAATTATATGTATTATGTAGATTGAGGACGGAACAATTGTTTACCCAACCGAAGACTGCATGAACAAGGGTGGATTCACGGAGCATTTCACCATGTACACGTATACCGATCAACTTTGTTTCTGTAACATATCAATGAAAATTTATAATTTACAAAGTCTCGAAAAACCATTCAACACCTAGATATTTATTATTATTTATTTTTTTTCGAAACCTTTTACCTGTACCTAAATGATACATATATATTATACTACAGAGCAGTGCAATAGCGCGCATTCGGATCGATCGGGGAAATTTATCGGTCGTTAATGGACGAGGAGTCGTTATCTAAGCATTCATCCATACTCACGTTTACTCGAGTTCACGGAAAACACGAAAAAGGGTTAATACATACGCACGTATGTGGGTACAGATGGGGGTGGGTTGAATGGCGCTTTACACGTTTGCGACATCAGGTAGTTTTGTCGTACATTAAGTTGTAATCGTCGATTCACGAGCGTTTTGGGGAGGAAAAGGGGGCAGAGAGAAAAAAAAATACAGATCGATCATTCGGTTACGAATGTGTGGTATCACATACATACGTACCGCGAGGAAAACCCAACTCGTCTTCGACCCCCTGTTTTGTCCCCTCCCCCCCCTCGAGAGCGAGGGTCGTATTATGTTTCGGCTTCACTTGCCATCCAATGAATATTATATATGACGACTGCGATGATGCCGAACGAGTCGGGCCATGTTTTTCTTCGTTAATTATGCAGAGCGATTGCTGTGGCGATAACTTACTTGTCGATCGAAGTGATGGAAAACGCGTACTGTTTCGGACAAACCTTGCCACAATCGACCCCACGATAATCGAGAGACGCAACGCGACGAGTGATTTTCAATTTCTATATATATGAGCCCATCCTGTAAATATGAGTCTCTCTCAAGCCGCAAGTGATGATGTAAAAAGTTTAATGCCGTGCACCGCCAGCGTATCTTCTTTTATGCGTTGTATGCATTCATATCGCCTCTTATTCCTCCTCTCTCATCTTCCGCCGCAGAAAGGGGCAACCCTTGTATACACATACACGTGTAGGTTAAAGCCTGGGAGCACTCATAAATCAATGCGTTCTCTTCCTGCCCGCCGCTCTCTCTCTCTCTCTCTCTTTACTTTTAGCGAGTCACAAAAGGGCGAACACGGCAATTAAGGGTGTTTTCGAGTGGTTGTTGCACTCGAATTCACTATTACCATCTCTCTCTCTCTCTCCCTGCGCACTCAAAGACTGTCACGGTTCGACTGGCAAGCCAAAAAGGGGGGTATTAAAAAGCATTACTCATCACATAATCGCAGAGCCGCCACTGCTGCTTTCTGTTACAATGCGCTTATACCTATACGCGTACAACATAATGTATATAGGTATACCCGTGTGTTATCCAAAGAGCGCGCATTGTGTGTAACAGTGGCGTTAAATGTCGGGCGAAAAATGAGAAATGATTCGCGTATATATGCGCACGGATCGCTGTTTAAAATTCATGAACGATTTTTACAACCCCGTTTGGACAAAGGCGGCGACGCGACCTCCTGTGTACGAGTATTTGACGGGATTTAATTCGCGCGTCTCTCTTATTGTTGTCAATTTATTTCTCTAGCTTTTATGCCCTCGCCCTTTTTTTTCCCCTTGGGCATCATCTATACACGCATAATATGTGGTTCGCTCGTTAATAAAGCCGCTGTATATATACAAAGCTGGGAAACATATTAATTGACGAATTTCTCGCTCGCGCGCATCTTGCGTGATGTACATCGGTTATACATATATGTACCCACTTTCCGTTGCTCCTCTCTCAATTCATTATAATCGTGACCGACAACCTTACGTTATATCTACTGAGCTTTTTTTTTTTTTTTTTCTACTTTGCACAACAACGGCGGCAGTAGTAGTTGGTAGCAGGGCATGTTTCCGATCATTAGTCAAAAGAGACCATCACACCGACTCCTCTTGCAGTTATGTAAATTAGGATGCGATGCCCATAATAACAAAAATAACCATCGTGTGTTGTAAAAATGACGATGGTAAAAATAACCTTCCTCTCTTGATGATCATAATGATACAACGCGTGATTAAAAGTAAATTTTCCACCGAGTGCGCGCGCACGAGTGTGTATCCACATGTGTGTATATATATATACCCAACAACGAAAGGAACCGATTCAATTTCTCTTTTTCCTTTCCCCGTAATTAAACGATTCTTAATTCAGGAGTCGATGTGTACATATGTATATATGTATGTATACCAAAACAGCACACGACTGGCGGCATTTATTATTAATTATGTTGATGGATCGTTCGTGTGTCATTGAAAACTGAATCCACCCTCGTCGAGGATACACACACACATGTATTCATACGCAGGAACGTACATCCGGTTGTACACGTATTTATGTGCGGTTAAGGAGCGATCCCCTATCGAGTTTTCGTGACCGCGGGAGCGTGGATAATGATCGGGCTAAACGCCATACACGTAGGTTTATACATGTATATACCTTCCTTCTACAATTATGTCCCCCGCCTTTCGTTTGCGTGTGATATTTAATATTTTTTCGTATTCGCCCGCGCTTTCTAAAAATTCGTGCCGGGACGCACTCGATAAATCTCTCGAGTATACGACCGAGGGGACCCTTTTATCTTTCATTTTCATCCTATGTGCTTTAATTATAAGAATGTTTTTTTTTTTTTTTTTTTTTTTTTTTTTTTTTTTTCATTTTCATACACGTATGTATGTGAGACTTTAAAAAACGCTAAGCTGTACGATAAAAACCACATCGTGTGCACGAGGAAACGCCGGGTGTAAACAATACGGGCACAGTATATAGATCCAAGGCCCAAGTGTAGAGCGCGTGATGTTAACGCCTCTGAATAAAAGATGCGCGAGCGAATTTAGATCTGCCGGCAATTATAATACCATTCGGATGATTAATTAAACTAATTCGCGTGTATACGTGTGCACGTATACGCACGCCCCCCGGTTTTTACATCGCAACGTGGATACGCGGTGCTTTAATTAGACGTAATGTACGTGCTCTGAGAACTTTTTTTTTTTTTGTTTTTGTTTTAATCCCCAACGCGTGATGTCGAATTAAATTAAAGTATAAGGATACAAGTGCACGCACCTCATGGTACAACGATATGTAAAAGGATGATAAAACCCTCGAAGCGATCTAGCATTTGTGGTATAAAATCGATCTTGAATTATAACTCGGTCTGTATACTTTTTCGTCGCTTTCACGAATTTCGCGTGTGTATACCTATACGCGATGATAATAATCTCAGCCGTATAGGTATAAGGTGTATACACACACGTGAGCAGAGGGGGTTGATTGAGCCGAGAAAGGGCGTCACTGTGAGTGTGTGTGGTAGGAAAAGAGGAGATGGCTTGGTTGTACCCGGTCGCGCGGCCGCTCCCCGTATCGTACCGAAAAATCAGCGTAACTCACACCTACAGTGCCCGGCAGCGCACAATTTTCTACCGAGGAAACGACGAACCGAGAGAGAGAGAGAGAGATGATAGGACCGTGGCATGATACGCGATGATTAGACCGCGAGCCACCACGGACTATTTGTTAGTATAATAAGCCCCGGGGGTGCCTTGGTCGGGCAGCGGCGTGTATACAGCCACTTGGTGGCACGCCACGGCGTTTTAGCGTAATTGTCCCAGATTCGCGATTTACATATACACCGAATGGCCGTTCTCCCTTTTCCGCCCGTATGTACCTTACATGTATATACATGTGGAGCTGTGTGCCACTTTGAGCTCTCTTTCGTTCCGGGTATACGAGGATCGGACTTTGATTGGTTGTACCTTTGGGTGGAAATGGCGGAATCCCTCGCGGATATCGCGCCTGGGCCCTTCCGGCAATACTCTCGGGGTGTGCCTGTTTTTTATCTCGAGTGTATCGGCTCACTTTCGTTGCGCGAACAAACATGACAATCGCCCCCGACGCCAAAGTGCACCCCCGATATTGTAAATGACGTTTCGATGTTTTTTAAAAATATGCAGGGTTATACTTTCGTGGTAAAAACAGAGGGTCAAGTATGGATATTTACATACATCGGGTCGATGAAAGGAAAAAGTAGGGCGATATAGCTCCCCTCTGCCCCTGAAAATCGAAGGGGTTTTAATACACGTATTCACCGTAAAATCCGAGTGTGTTTAAGTACACGTTTCAAGGCGTGTGGTCGAAATTTCAATTACCATTATTAAATTTCGACATACGAAGGCTGTGAAGAGTCAAACATGTTTGTCACAAATTTTACACAATTCTGTGACAGCCGAGTGTTTTTTGTACGTATGTAAAAGTCCCACCTGTAAAAGCTTCCAGCTTACTAGAACTGGTGAACTACTTCATGGTTCACTACCACATGGATTTATTTGCTCTTGAAATTTTATATCAATGAAACCGCCATACATTATAAAAAAAAAAAAAAAATTTTCTACTAGGTATCCTAATTTATAATTTCCAACTCAAAATCACGGAGAATATTACGGTGTGCAATGACATTAAAAATAAAAAAATGAATCAATAAGATGTATTTATTGAAGCTCCGTTTGCACCATTTTCCGTTTCTTTGTCTTCCAGCGAACCCTTCAAACTCGATCCCAACGCAAGCAAGATAAAAACATTGGGGCACATAAAAAAACACACACATCATACACACTCTTTAAAATGAGCAAACAAGACTAATAACCCCGTGTCCTGTTTCCCCTTTCTGATTCCAGGACGAAATGGAAGCGCCAGACGATAGTCGGCTACGAGATAATGGCGGAGGCTGGCAACTTCGCGGCCTACCAGCGTCTCATATCCGCAGCGGGCGTCCCAACTCACCCCTCGGCCGGGCCGTACTGGCCGTACCCCGGGGCCGCGGCGGCGGTTGCCCACCACGCCCAGAACGACCTGTTCTACCGACAGGCGGCCTCGGCGGCGGCGGTCACCCTCCAAAAGCCCATGCCATACAGGCTGTACCCGCCGGCGGCGATGATGCTCGCGGGCCCGAGTGCCCCCATGGGCGCCTTGGCGGCTGCCGGCTCGGGCCTCGGGGGCTACTACGCGAGCCGCGACTGCAGCCCCACGAGCACCGAGGCGATGGACGCCGGCCGCGAGCAACACCGCAACGCCGGTTTGGACCTCGCCAACAGGGAGCAGCAACCCCGCGAGCGCAGCAGGAGCCTCGAGAGGACGACCCCCCCGGCCAGGGAGCCCTCCACCTCGCCCAACAGCCTCGGCAAGCCGGAGAGCGACGACGAGAGCATACACGACGTCTAAGCCACCCTCCCGTGGAAGGAGGACCACCGGATGCTCGAATCGACTAGACCAGCGGTGGCGGTGATTTTCGGCAGTTGAAGGCACCGCGGAGGTGACGATCGTTTTGGAAACAAAGCAAAGCCAGTGGAGGGTGGGCAAAAGGCGGAAGTGACTCGGTTATACGCGTATACGTTATCGGAACTCGATGCGCGGTCACGGAGGACAGGAAGTCCGAGAGTGCTACCATTGCCACGTACACACTGTACTGCTTACATATATGTACCGATCCCGGCGCGCGCGCGTGTATACGTGCCTCCAGGATGCGTCGTGCGGTTAACCAAGAAGAAGAAGAAGAAGAAGAAGAAGTGGAGGAGAAGCGAGTGCACAGAGCGGCTCGGTCACTTCCGCAGGGACCGTCCGGACAAATAGTCCTCGTGACCGGCACACCGGAAGGACACTCGTGCCCCGTTGTCGTATACGATTCTCCAAAAACCCGCGGGCCCTTTTCGCTCATAATCTTCCTCGCGTGCGAGAGATTTTATTATTTACGGCCGTCCTCGAGTGAATTATCCTTCAATTACATAGTTTGAAAAAAGAAAAAAAAAAAAAAAAACGCGAGCGCCTGTTTGATTGCTCATATACCTGCTGCCCGTGGTTTTGTAAATGACTCTCGAGTATACGTATACACTTGGCGCGTTATTTATTGAAAGGAAAGAGGAGGAGGAGGAGGAGCGCGAGCAAAAGGATCTCATTAAGTCGGCGTCGTTTGTTTGGACGAGAGAGCAGGAAGCAGCAGCACCGCCTCCTAGTTTGTATACATACTCGGTCAGCGGGCGAGGGCGATTAATACGACATTAGCGGGCAAGCCCCGGCGAATCAGCGCAATGACGCGATAATCACGAGTCCTTACTTTGCATTTTCGAGACTCTCGGCAATATTTTAATACAAGCGCTGATGGTTGACGTTGGAAATTTTCACGGCGCGGCGAGATGACTAATTTTTCTCGTTTGCTCTCCGCCGTGTGTGTGTGTACATATTTTACTGTTCCTTTCTTTTTTTCTTCGCCCGTCGTCGTATTGCCTTTGTTTCTCTTTCGAGTTATACTTCATCGGAATCATTTTCTCGCCGCACCGAAACGTTTTTGATCATCCGACTATCGTGCATTGTACATTTCTTTTTTCTTCCTTTCGTCTATATATGTATACTTTGTCGCTGTTTGAGCATATACCTCATTGCGGGTGAAATTTTTACTTTTATTATTTATTAGAAGCAGGAGAGAAAGAGAGAGAAAAACAATTCTCCGTGTGACTAGGCGCGATGGAAAGGACTATGTTTTTTGCTTATAGCCAAGCTATATTGTAGCGCCGAGGGACGTAATGGACAGTTGTCGAATAATAGCCAAACACGCGATGATGTGCAATGCCGAGGATCGTTATTTTTCAACGAGTTCTCGAATAAAGGACGCTAAATATTATTAACGTCGTGTCGACGTGACGTGTATAGGTAGTACACTAAAATGTAAATATTTCAGTCTGTATTATATAGATAAAGAAAGAAAAAAAAAAAAAAGAAAATTAAAAGTAAAATAAAAAAATAAACATAATATGAAAAATTAATTCATAAGCGAACCGTGAACTCTGATTTTTAGCTAAGTACGCATGATATGTAGTGTGGTATACCCTACGTTGTAAGTTTGTACACAGTTGCGTAGTGTTTATTATATTATGGATTGTAGATATAAATATGAAGTGTTCGTACAATATTATACTCAGTGACACAATGACAAAAGTGGCTAAGAAAAAAATAACTTTAGAAAAAAAGAGGGGGGAAATTGTAATATTAGAAAAATGTTGAGTCAATACGTCGAATCGTAGGACGTTCGTTGTAGGAAAAGCTCGACATTTCAGGATAGGATGAAAAGAAAAAAAAAACTCGAAAATTGATAAAACATACACGGCTGTTGATTTAACGACACAAACACTAACCTTTTGGAGGAGAGCGAAATGAATGATAAAAAACAATGAAAAAAAAGAATGTTACAGTAAATTTGTATACTATTGTCAAAAGTGAAAAAAAAACCTCAGGTTTTTCTTCCTCAAATTCCGTCTTCGAATGAAAAACAGTTTCTAAGGAGTTGCCAAGAACAAACTCATCGAGCGAACGATAAATAATCATAGCGATGATTAACAAAATCTGTCGTCTGACAATCTGAAAGAAAAAAAAAAAAAATACTACATTTCCAGATTGCAAATCGAAACGAGTTGCTGCTGTGGTGTGAAATCGCGAAAATACAGGAGAAAAATCGAGAGAGGAGTACCAGTATTATGAATGTATAAAAATTTACCTGAGTCCCACACTACCGTTATCTCTGCGGTGTGCCTCAATGCATTTCCCCTCCCACCACAAAAAAAAAAAAAAAAAAAAAAAAAAAAAAAAAAAAGAATGGAGCATAGTACGAGAGATGTACAGATTGCGTTTTCTTAGCGACTCAATTGATCCATCGATTCACGGGAGGAAAAAAAAAAATTGCAATGATCCTTATTACATCGAGCGATCTTTTGTCACCTGTGTGCGCATGAAAACCGATTTGTTACCAAGACCTCCTCTCCCTCCATCTACGAGCAGCAAGAAATATAATGGTAAATCATGCTTTGTAACATAATGTCTGTATAGCAAAAGATTATACATGGAAAATATATTATACCGAATTTACAAGGCCGATTTTTCTTATTTCGCAAGAATAACCGACACAACGTGTAATCCACTATCCACTCCTTTTTTTTTTTTTCTTTACACATATCCGTGCAAAACACTAACATCATTACCGATGGGCGATTTTAACATTTCGACAGCCTCGTAATGAGGACATTTTTACACGAACCGACAGCAAAGCTACTTTCCTTAATCCGGCGTTTAAGTAACACCTGAGAGAAGACTTGTACGTCCCAGTGGTACGTAATACGGAACCCGCGATAAAATCGATAAGGACGCTCGTCCGCTTGGAGAAACGAGATCAGCAGTGACACGCGGAGTGAGGACTTAATTCCACCTTTGACGGCTATAGGACTGGTAAGACATGTATACGCATTATATGGTACACCGTTTAATTCCTCGCCGTGAGTGTAAGTATACGTACTTGGCGCGTTAAACGGACTTTTATCTCGCCGCGTGGGACTGCACGCGAGACTGCTTTTTGTCCGAAATCCGTACGGCTCCTCTGCCTTTGCTCGTGTGAGCTTATGTCAGGTAGCATCTGATAAAGTCAATGGATTTCGGTTTTTTTTTTTTTTTTTTAATTTTTATATAAATGAATCAGATAAAAAGCAAGTGACAACTTCATTGTTCAATAATTTTTTTTTTTTTTTTAATACGACAATACCCACAATGGCTGTGATACATGAAAACTTTGATGAACAAAATTTTTTGCGAGTAATGAGTAATAATACTTAAATCATTGATTGGAAGTTGAGGTTTTTCCAGGGTGCAGAGTCTCCTTCAAAAAGCGCGACATTTACTCTTTGGCATTTCGAAATACTCCTACGTGATATAATACCTTTCAATAAATCCGAAACGACGTGTACATCCGAAAGAAAAAAAAAGTAAAAAAAAAAATAGAAAGAGAAGCTAGCGAACCCATCTACGAGCAAAGGAGCACAAAAGGAGGTAGTTTGCAAACGCGAAGCGTGACAGCATGCTAAAGCACAATTACCCGGAGAATAAAAAAGAAAAAAAAAAAGGTACGAGGGTTTACTTGATCCGTATAAAGGACGATATCCCACAATCCTATACGTATTCCCAATTACAAGTTAGGCGGGCACGTACTAATAATTTGGGTCAGACGAGCGTGAACGATTGCGGCTCGAATAATGGAGGGACTATGAAAAATCTTCATTCCTTCGGAGCATTATTTGTAACGAAAATCCGTTTCTTGTCAATCAAAGTCGTTTTTTTTTTTTTTTTTTTTTGTCAGAGCAGCGGGGGAGGGGAAAGTACAGCACGTACAGGTACCCCATACACGGTGCTCGGTCTCATGGAAATCGAAGAGGCAAAGGTATACCGAAGGAGGATGTGGTGAACCCGCTGCGCTCCGCGTCCAGAGATACATTATATTACGCCCGAGCAACGACCGAACCGTATAATAACGTAAGCGAGACTCTATCCGCGAGCACCTTCTCCCCGGAATCGAAGGAGTATTGTGTGCACCCTCCTCGTCTTTGTCGTCGCTGTTGTCACCCGCATCCTGTTTTTTTTTTTTTTTTTTCTACGACGTCGTCATTGGCGCAGATATTTTTTTACCACTTAGGTGATACGTGTGGTTTTTAACTTTTCCAAGTATTACATAACAAAGAAACAATTTAACGACACCTCGATTTGATTAGCAAAGCTGAGCAGTCCGTTACAGTTCAATCAAGTACATGCATACATATACATATATATATGTACGGGTAAACTCGGACATCGAGCAAGCGACGCCTCGGTGCACCTGCGATCAAACCCTGCACGACGACGACACTCCTATCGAAATCTCCCCTGTGCCCGCCGCGAAACATCTGTCAATCAGCACCCCTGTATACATTCACCAAGTATGCCGGGGGGGGAAAAGAAAAAAGGCGGAAGCCGAGTCCGAAGAGTGTGACACGAAAATTATGATCACGAGTAAGACGAACGAAAGAGATAAGCGTATGTACAGAAATAAAGGGGGGGGGGGGATTTTTTTTTCCATTTGTTGGCTTAAAAAGGTAATGAGAGGGAAATCGATTGGGGTTTAATTTTAAGCGAGGGGGCGTTAATCCAACGAGGCGTCAATTCTTTTTTAATCTCCAGATCCTACACGTATATACACCCTCAAGGGCCGGGGCGTATTTTGTGCCGTCGGCTAATCTGTTCTAACAAACAACTTGGGGGAAAAAAAGAGCGAAATCGGGAAAAGAAGAGGAGCACGTCCGAAAGGAAAAGGGGACAAGAAGAGGGAAGCCAGTGTCCAAAAGGGGCGCACCTGCGCAGTAAATGTATATAGGTATATTATCAAATCGAGTCGGTGCCAACAGGAGAAGCCAAGGCATGTCGGGCCGATCTTATCTGCGATCCTCGAGAGCAACGGACCACTTATATACATCGTTAATTGCTCTCACTTCCGTTCTCCGTGCCCGACTCTCCTTGCGTGCGCCCCTGACACTAACTCATCACCACCACTTTCTTCCGCGTACGTGTATTTGTATATACCTACATGAGCATTGGACGCGTGACATGGGAATCGATAATTTTTAGGGGAAACGCTTGACTTTTTTTTCATTATTTTTCTTTTATGCGCAAACAGGTTAAGTATGTTATCTTGGGATGCGATTGAGACGCAGAGTTCGAAGACGATTAACGCGTATACCTATACATACTTTCATGACTTTTTTTTTTTTTTTTTTTTTTATTTAACCAATAAAATTCCTACAAAGTATATATGTATATATACCGTTACTTCCGTGCCCACTGTTTTATTAAGGTTTACAAGTGGGATTCCATGTTGTAGTACGTATAAGCTGGGAATCGTGAAATCTGCTGTACTTGCCCTATAATTTCCCAGTGTATTATCTCTCCGATACTTGCAATAACAGTAGGTAGGTACTTTGCTCGCACATTTATCTCGGTAATATTATTACTTCCGAAGTAGCTTCTTATACATTACAAATTATATCTAAATAATTCAAGGTGGATTTGCAGTTTCGTAATTACGTTTTGCAGTCTAGCTTTAGGTACGTAGAAACTACGCGTATCACGTTATAAAAGTATCATACACACATACACACATATACGGAAAACGAAGCGCATAAAATTGAATGGTATGAGATCTGAAAAGTCGGTCGACGTTAATCGTGACTCTGTGCACGCACACCCATGTATACTTATATACACCTTACATACGGCGCCCCTTGAACATCAACTCGCAATTATACGAGCGTATATATATACATATATGAAGAAGTTTTTTCTTTTCTTTTTTTTTTTTTTTCGCAAAACTACACGTAGGCACTCTTACGCAGGGACGGTTATCGTGTACAATCGTTAAAACGGCTAGATACATAAATAAGCCAATGAGCATCCCATTTCCCCACATAATTTTCAGAAAAACTTTCCTCTCTTCAACGTGAACCGCGACTATTTTAACGCAGCGCATTAAAGGCCAAAAGTGGAGCGGAAAATAAAGGATATTTTGCGGCCTTGAGGTGCTTCGCCTTTCAAGCAAAACCAGTCGGTTGCTGTGCAGTCGTATATAAATTCACGAGACATAACGCACGGGAATGCGAAGCGATGCGCGCACGGTAGCCCTCCGGCTGCCATCAGCAACGATGTCTTTCATTTTTTTTTTTTTCGCAAACCATCGCGAGCCTACCCCAAGAGATTTAGTGGAAAAGATTAAGGCGCTGCACTTACTTACCCCGAGCGTGTGTTGAAGTCTTTATCTGCTTGATGTACTTAACTCTGTGTGTACCCTATATATGCGCCAAAGTGCCCAAGTGAGAACAACAATGACACAGTGAAATCAACAACTGCAAGACGAAGAATGATCGTATCTCTCTCTCTCTCTCTCGTGTCTCATTCTTGAATGTTTTGACTATATTTCTTTCACGATGCACACGTGTGATGACTCATTCCCTCCGAGTAAGCTCATTTGATGTGACGTAGGTATAATTGTTCTCCGAGTCGCTCGTTTTTGCATTGACGATTCGTCATAATTGCTGAATAAGTACAAGTGCGTGTATTTTGTAATCCGCGACAAATCAATTTGGCATACCTCCACTAGATGGATGCGGAAGGCTTTGTGCACACTCGAAAGTGATTGTTCCGAGTAATCGGTATAACAATGAATTTGGTATGTAACCCTCATGCTACATAAACTGGTGCCACTGACTCTCACGTAATGTTCGTTCAGTATCACATGCTTATGTAGTATCACTCAAAGACAAAGAATAATAATAATATTGATCAACTCACTAACGAGAGCCCTTGTGCTGATGGGGTTTGGGGTTGCGAACAATTCAAGTGTCAACTTGTGTAAATACCTACACAAATGAGCCGAAAAAAAAAATNATACATTTATCTTCGTTTAATATAAAATATGAGTTATTACAACACAAATCAAACCATAAAAAATTTAAAACCCTTAATGGCTTCACGATAGTATCAGCTCCAAAGTTAACAAAAAAAAAAAAAAAAAAAAAAAAAAAAAACGGACCGAGTGCTGTGAAAAACTCGTAAATAAGCATCGACCATCGGTATGAAGAAGTACTCCGACTCGCGGGAGGAAAAAAATTCATTTTGTCACGCGACCGTGTAAAACGCTTGCCTCT